TCCGAACACACTCACAGCGTCCGCCATCTTCCCCAGCTCTTCTTCTTCCTCCGCTCTTCTTCTGCGCTGCTCTCCCGCGGCGGACTCAGCGTGCGCCCCCTGCTGGACGGAGGCTGCACGCGTCAGCCCTGCTGGCTCTATACACCGCTTAATAATATCATTCTTTGGGCTTTATGATTATGTAGTGCCACTGATCTCTATTACAGCTCAGTGAAATCTGCTCATCTCTACATGAGCTGCACGCTTAAATTCGATTATTAATCTGACTCGTCGAATTCTAATCTGGAGAAGTTCATAGATGTCAGCTTTCTGTCCTGATGCGCTGTAAATACAGTGTACAGTGTTGCAGCTATGCACTGAGAGAGCAGAAGAGTGAGGTTAGCGGAGGACCCGTAGACTGTGAGGAGCGACTGTGTGTGTTTCAGATGAACAGTTTGCTGGGATTCACAGGGTTTCGGTTATACTGAAGTGTAGCAGGGTTCCCTGTAAAAGCTCAAGACTGTACGCTGCTTAGCTTGATCAGAGTGTGTAGTGTAAACACGTTTCTAATGGAACTGCATGTTTCGGTTCACATGAACCATTACTAAATGTAACTCGTTTAGCGTGTAAATATATATAAAGACACATATATTACTTGTCATACATGTGTGAGTACAAATAGAATAGTCAAGGAAAGAGTAGAAGAGCAAATAAATAACTGATCGTTGATAAACGGGAGAAACGAATCTTTGCGAAGCTTCGAATCAATTGAACCGATTGCTTCTCAGAATGATCCAGTGACTCGAAGCTTCGAATCAATTGAACCGATTGCTTCTCAGAATGATCCAGTGACTCGAAGCTTCGAATCAATTGAACCGATTGCTTCTCAGAATGATCCAGTGACTCGAAGCTTCGAATCAATTGAACCGATTGCTTCTCAGAATGATCCAGTGACTCGAAGCTTCGAATCAATTGAACCGATTGCTTCTCAGAATGATCCAGTGACTCGAAGCTTCGAATCAATTGAACCGATTGCTTCTCAGAATGATCCAGTGACTCGAAGCTTCGAATCAATTGAACCGATTGCTTCTCAGAATGATCCAGTGACTCGAAGCTTCGAATCAATTGAACCGATTGCTTCTCAGAATGATCCAGTGACTCGAAGCTTCGAATCAATTGAACCGATTGCTTCTCAGAATGATCCAGTGACTCGAAGCTTCGAATCAATTGAACCGATTGCTTCTCAGAATGATCCAGTGACTCGAAGCTTCGAATCAATTGAACCGATTGCTTCTCAGAATGATCCAGTGACTCGAAGCTTCGAATCAATTGAACCGATTGCTTCTCAGAATGATCCAGTGACTCGAAGCTTCGAATCAATTGAACCGATTGCTTCTCAGAATGATCCAGTGACTCGAAGCTTCGAATCAATTGAACCGATTGCTTCTCAGAATGATCCAGTGACTCGAAGCTTCGAATCAATTGAACCGATTGCTTCTCAGAATGATCCAGTGACTCGAAGCTTCGAATCAATTGAACCGATTGCTTCTCAGAATGATCCAGTGACTCGAAGCTTCGAATCAATTGAACCGATTGCTTCTCAGAATGATCCAGTGACTCGAAGCTTCGAATCAATTGAACCGATTGCTTCTCAGAATGATCCAGTGACTCGAAGCTTCGAATCAATTGAACCGATTGCTTCTCAGAATGATCCAGTGACTCGAAGCTTCGAATCAATTGAACCGATTGCTTCTCAGAATGATCCAGTGACTCGAAGCTTCGAATCAATTGAACCGATTGCTTCTCAGAATGATCCAGTCACGTGTGTGTGTGTGTGTGTGCTGACCGCTGAGCATCTGTGAGAGAGTGTCTCTGTCCAGACTCCTCAGATGCTTCGCCAGCTGCTGCACTTCAGCTGGAGCTCTTCCTCCGAACACACTCACAGCGTCCGCCATCTTCCCCAGCTCTTCTTCGTCCTCCGCTCTTCTTCTGCGCTGCTCTCCCGCGGCGGACTCAGCGTGCGCCCCCTGCTGGACGGAGGCTGCACGCGTCAGCCCTGCTGGCTCTATTCACCGCTTAATAATATCATTCTTTGGGCTTTATGATTATGTAGTGCCACTGATCTCTATTACAGCTCAGTGAAATCTGCTCATCCCTACATGAGCTGCACGCTTAAATTCGATTATTAATCTGACTCGTCGAATTCTAATCTGGAGAAGTTCATAGATGTCAGCTTTCTGTCCTGATGCGCTGTAAATACAGTGTACAGTGTTGCAGCTATGCACTGAGAGAGCAGAAGAGTGAGGTTAGCGGAGGACCCGTAGACTGTGAGGAGCGACTGTGTGTGTTTCAGATGAACAGTTTGCTGGGATTCACAGGGTTTCGGTTATACTGAAGTGTAGCAGGGTTCCCTGTAAAAGCTCAAGACTGTACGCTGCTTAGCTTGATCAGAGTGTGTAGTGTAAACACGTTTCTAATGGAACTGAAGCATGTTTCGTTTCACATGAACCATTACTAAATGTAACTCGTTTAGCGTGTAAATATATATAAAGACACATATATTACTTGTTATACATGTGTGAGTACAAATAGAATAGTCAAGGAAAGAGTAGAAGAGCAAATAAATAACTGATCGTTGATAAACGGGAGAAACGAATCTTTGCGAAGCTTCGAATCAATTGAACCGATTGCTTCTCAGAATGATCCAGTGACTCGAAGCTGGTCGAACTGTGTACATGCAACAAAAACAGCTCTTACAAACTCGATGCAAATAAAAAAGTACAGTATAATACATTAAAACTATTAAAATAATGAAGTGGCTTTATAATATGTGATTAAAAAAACAACAATTATTATTCATTCGTGTTTGTTTTATGGACAGCTTGTATGTTTTCCTATTCCAGCTATAGCACACCTGTACATACAATTTATTATTTTTTTGTGGTTTATATTTATGCATGTGTATTTTATTCACATCTCATTGTATTATCTGTGTGTTGTTGTTGTCTCCGTGTACTGGAAGCTTGTGACACTATAACACACTTGGCAATAAAGCTCTTTCTGATTCTGATTCTGATAAACAGGTCAGTAAGAGACTATTAACTACTACTCATCCTTTTAATCACCCAGATGTCTCGTAAAAAGGCGACTCGGTGACTGCTCTAGAGATCCTGAAACACGACGCACAGCAGCAGCAATATATGTTCCAAGGTTCAGGTGCAGAATAGCAAAAGAACATCTAATCATCTATCAGTGTATACTACAGAAATGTGCTTCTCAGAATGATTCAGTGACTCAAAGCTGGTCGAACTGTGTACATGCAACAAAAACAGCTCTTACAAACTCGATGCAAATACTTTCTTGAAAGTATAGTATAATACATTAAAACTATTAAAATAATGAAGTGGCTTTATAATATGTGATTAAAAAAAACAACAATTATTATTCATTCGTGTTTGTTTTATGGACAGCTTGTATGTTTTCCTATTCCAGCTATAGCACACCTGTACATACAATTTATTCTTTTTTTGTGGTTTATATTTATGCATGTGTATTTTATTCACATCTCATTGTATTATCTGTGTGTTGTTGTTGTCTCCGTGTACTGGAAGCTTGTGACACTATAACACACTTGGCAATAAAGCTCTTTCTGATTCTGATTCTGATAAACAGGTCAGTAAGAGACTATTAACTACTACTCATCCTTTTAATCACCCAGATGTCTTGTAAAAAGGCGACTCGGTGACTGCTCTAGAGATCCTGAAACATGACGCACAGCAGCAGCAATATATGTTCCAAGGTTCAGGTGCAGAATAGCAAAAGAACATCTAATCATCTATCAGTGTATACTACAGAAATGACTGCAGTGTTATTGGCTCTTCAGTGGGCTGAGGACATTAATATACCTGAAGTGGGCATATGTTCAGACTGCTATTCAGCACTATCAAGTTTAATGAGTGCTAAATCTTCAACTACACAAGACATTTTATCAGACATTTTACAAAGTTTGTTCAGAATACAAATCTCTTGTGTATGGATACCTGCACATACAGGGATAGAAGGCAATGAAGCGGTGGATCAAATAGCAGAAAACAACATTAAAACATCCAGACATAGAGGTTAATGTTCCAGTGAGTAGATTAGAAATAAAAGGGCTAATTAAAACAGCATTAAAAGATATATGGCAAAGTAAATGGGATGGTGAGAATAAAAGACGGCGTTTATATAATATTCAAAAAACAGCTGGAAATGAGAGGAGGATTTCGGGGAATAGAAAGGAAGACGGCATAATATCTGGTCTTAGAACTGGACACACCGCACCTAATCAATCATTATTGATAAGAGGAAAACACGAGTCTGGAGTTTGTGTTAAATGTGATCTCCCTGAAACAGTTGAACATATTTTAATAACATGTAAAGGACATGAGAACGAAAGAGTGCAACTTACAGAAGCACTTCATGTAGAAATAAATCAGATCTCACTGCAGAAACATTTTTTATTAAGTTTTTAGTTTTATTTAATTTGAGTTATTTTAATACTTCAACAAACTAAATGGAATGGAAATATATAGAATTTATAAATGTTTATGTGTGTGTGTGTGGTTGTACTTACACATATGTAGTTTTTTTTATTTTGGTGTTTGGCTTAGTGTTGTTAGAATCATTATTATACTCTTATACCTTTTGTTCTTTAATATTTTGAATTGTTTTTAGCTTTATGAAATTGTTTATGCATTTGTCATTTTTATCTAATCTCTTAATTTTAGTTGTTTTAATACTACAATTGATTGCTTCTGTTGTCCTCATTTGTAAGTCGCTTTGGATAAAAGCGTCTGATAAATGACTAAATAAATAAAAGATCACGCCTTCGTCGACAGCTTGTAAATCATTTATTAAATAAGGTAAGTACAATCAGCTATTTAGCTAGCACATCTTACCTCAGAATAAAGTCATGTCTGTGAACACCATGACAGAGGCTCATTTGGAGCAACGAAATAAAGTAATTTATTGTTATAAATAAATGCATAAAAAACACAGGACAAACAAAAGACATGAATCAATGAATAAACTTGAATGAATACATAATACACAATTGGATAAATAGAGAGAGAGAGGGTTGTATTTGGAAGATGGATCTGACCTCCGTCCAAACCTCCGGCTTTCACGACAGTCCATCACGTCCCTCATCGCTGCTTTGAAGTCAGATTCTGACCGTGGCTGGGAAAAAGATGTTGAGGTGCTGGTGTTTCTCTACTGGCTGGCCCACGCAGCATCGTACAGGCTGGTGTCACTGGGCTTCGACATCCCAAAGTCCACGGTGCATGACATTGTGCACAGAATCAGCAGAGCAGTCATCAGTGTTTTGAGGAGGCTGATCGCTTTCCCGACCCCGGATGACCTGGAGGCAGGTTTTGCCCAGCTGGCTGGGTCTCCAGTTTTCCACACGGTAGCTGGTGCAATAGACGGATCAAGCCACCAGCAAGTGATGCCCCATGCTATTGTAATAGGAAGCTGTTCCACGCTGTTCAGCTGCAGGCCATCACCGACCACGAGGGGAAGTTCCTCCATATCTTTGTTGGATATCCCGGGTCTGAAAAGCACAATATCAAGACAGCCAATTACATTCATTAGATTACTGTATTATTATGACATGGAAAAACATTAGCAAGATCAAATCATGAACTAATACAAATGTTGGGGTGAACTAATTAAAAAAATCTTACTGTATATTTTAGTTTTTTAGGTTCTCCCGCTTTCTTTTGACTTGAGCGCAGAAATGTTGTCCTCAAGTCCCTGCTCTGTCACAAAAGCTAAAGTGTCCATCGTATGCATGCTACGGAATCGGGTGGAAGTAGTAGCTCATCCGGGTACTTCTCGCCTACTGTTTTTCGAATACTATATAGTGTGGAAGTATGCGATTTCGGACGCAGCTATGGTCACAGCGCACAGGACGCGACGCGCCACAGAACCACAGAAGAAGAGCAGCGTCAGCTGGCGGACGTGACGTCAGCAGCGGAAGCGGATTGAGAGCTGTTAGCGCTGCTGAGAATAACCCCTGAAGCAGCTGTGTGTGAGAGAAACAGACCCGACAGCAGGTGTGTGTGTGTGTGTGTGTGCGCAGCAGACCCGACAGCAGGTATGTGTGAGAAACATACACTAATATGGTCCTTCAGCGGTGTGTGTCGCGCTCAGAGAGCCGTTAGCAGCGGAGGCTAAGCGCTGCTATCATTAGATCTGAGTTATCCGAAATAATGAACAAACTAAAGAAATATTGGCAACGTTACTCATTATATTCCGACTAAATGAGCGACATACGCTACTGATTCTTCAGCAGAGGATCTAGTGCTGAGCTTGAGGCCTGACAGATGATTAGAGTGTGTGTGTGTGTGAGCTAGGCCTGCTCTGCTGCAGTGTTTACATGCGGCCCGCTCACTCCTCATCACCCTCTCCTCATGAGCAGTGCTAGTGTAGAACACACGTGTGATATACACTTACCTCTGTGTGTCTGTGTGTGTGTGTGTGTGTGTGTGTGTGTGTGTGTGTCTGTCTGT